CGAGCCATGCGAGGGTATCAGGGTTGAACGCGGATCGTTGATTCTTCTCAAGGTCAACGTGTATGGACTCGATGATGCGCCACTCGCGTGGCGCAAGACTGTCGTCAGCTTCCTACAGGATAAGGGTTTCTGTAGGAGTCTGCTGGAGCCGTGCTGGTGGACCCGGTACGACTCGAGAGGCAGAATCCTCAACATGATCCTTCTGGAGGTGGACGATTTTCTGATTGCCAGCGAATCACCAGAGTCACGGAAGTGGCTGAGGGAGACTCTCGAGGGTCGATTCCGGTTCGGGAAATACCGTGACTGTCATGCCGGTCCCGTCGAATACGCAGGCAGATCCGTTCGGGTGGGTCCCCAGCGCACCACTATCGATCAGGAAAAGTACATTCTCGAGGAGCTCCGCCCGATCGTGCTGGCCAGGGGAAGGTTGGGTCAAAAGAAAGCGCCTCTCGACAGAGAGGAGTTCAAGTCCCTTCGGTCGCTTATATATAAGTTGAACTGGGTCGGACGGGAGTCACGACCCGAGGCCGCAGGTACGGCCAGCATTCTGGCCAGCAGGCTCAAGGAGCCCACCGTGGGGGACGTTGCGTGTGCCAACAAAATGGTGCGCCACCTTAGGGCCACGGCCTCTAAGGGCCTGAGCATCTGGCGACTCGACCCGGAGCGCATGGCGTTTGCGTCGTTTTCTGATGCCGGAGGGGTTGGGGCCAGCGAGGGGCAGCTGGACGAGAGGGGCCTTCCCCAAGACCCCACTCAAGGCGCGTGGATGGTGCTTGCGACGGACAAGAGCGTGATAGATAATCGTGTCGTTCGGGCTTCGATCCTGGGGTGGAGGAGCTCGAAGCTCCGTCGGAAGGTGACTTCCACGCTTGCCGGCGAGACGCAAGCACTCTCCCAGGCCGTGGCTGAAGTTGAGTTTCTGCAAGTTTTATATAGGGACATCGTTTTTCGCGATGTCAACGTTTCAGATCTCTGCAGGGGCGCAGGACCGTTTACTACCGCGCTGAGAAGCAACTGCCGGCTCGGCAGTCGCGTGGAGCAAGTCCATGTTGTAGACGCTAAAAGTATTTACGACACTATGCTCAAGGACGGGCATGCAAGTGCGCGTGACCGGCGCACGGCGCTGGACCTGGCAGTGGTGTGCGAGACGTTAGAGAATGCCCGCGGACACATCCGCTGGATACCGCACGGCAGGATGCCGGTGGACGCCATGACTAAGGATGATATCACGAAGGGGAACGCAGCATTGGCCAGTCTGCTCACCCATGGTAAGCTTGTTCTGGTCGAGGAGTCCGCAGAGCTAGACCGTCGAAAGCAAGATCCTGGGCACAAAGATAGGTCCCAGGCCGCCTCTCGGAGAACTCTTGCTCAGGACTCTGATCTGGTGTCATGGTCGGCTATTCGCGGTGTCGTCCCGGGTCCGGAGCTCGGCAACCTCTCTTCTCCTCTCTCTCCTTTCCTCGATCCTGTGCAGCAGGACGACTGACTTATGTGTACAGTACTGTTAGGGGCTGCTAAACCTACTAGAAAGTCTGACCCATGTGATGGAGTTCCACTTTTCAGGGGTTAGGTTTAGCATGTACATCTTTCTCTAGAGTGCAGGAGACAGAATGACTGACATTCATGATCTGTTGCCGGGTTTGGCTCAAGGCAAAAAGGCATCCGCTCATCCTGCTGCTGCCACGCAAGCGACCCACGGGCCTGCAATCCAGGTGCGCTTAGGAAAGGAATTGGCCTGAAGAGTGCAAGGGGTAAATAGGACCACAAAGGCCCACAAGTGCCCAGCGACAGCGAAGCCGTTTCCAAACGGAGCCACCCTTCACCCGTTTAATTGTTCCATCGTTGTCCGCGTCGGGCCGTACACATTGAAGTCTCAAGCCCGAGGTCCATGCTTGCCAGCGCGGGCCCCAAACCATACTGTCTTCCACTCTGCGTCTGTATGCTTCCTGTGAGGTGCAATGTGAACTGCACTCCATGTAATGTAAACAATGCTGTGTGCAATATATGTGGTGCTAGGTACGGGGTACACGCAATGTGGTGCAAGCGATGTACGCGGCGACTGACGGGGCTTGTTCTGACCGAGCTCGCTCCCTCTTGGCCAGGGCTGGTTCCGGGGTCTACAATGGGCATGACCACTAGCTCAACCATTCCGCCCGCGTACACGGTCTAGACCAGTCCGCGACACGGGCAGAAACCCTCGCCATGCTTCTTCTGGCCGCCACGGTCGAAAGGCCAGCACACGTCTTCGTCGACAGCCAGGCGGTCGTCGACGGGTTCGAAGACCTGCTCAAAGGGGGCAAAACAAAGCACCGTAACGCGTAAGGCCGCACGCCGATCTGTGGCAGAACATCCACAGGGTGCCCCAAGGGAAACCCGACTGGCTCACAATCCCGAAGGTACCACTTGGGGGAGCAAGGCATCAACGATGGGCGCATGACTCCGATCGCCGTAACTTTTTACCTCCATGCTGATTAAATCGCCAACTCAGGAGCGAGGCCCCACAACGTCCCACAAAGCGTGGCCGACGCCGCCAGGTGGCGCCGCGAGTTCGCCGCTGTCCTCCACACCGCGGTTGTCGCCATCTACGACCTCCGACACCATACGCTCTCGACCCCCACAGGAGAGCGGGGTTTTCCTGGTCGAAGCTCCCCAAGATGGCGCGGAAAACCCGCTCACCGCCGGTCAGGGAGTGCATGGCCCTGGCGCACTAGGAGGACCACCTCCCACGGACGGGCCACCAGGTCCCGACCACTTCGACGAGCTTGACGGCCCCTTGGCCCCCACCCGCGGATGATTTGGAAGGTGAGGGCCTCGACCCGCTCGGGCTCACAGCCTCCCTCGGCGGCGACGAGAAGACAGTCACTTCCCCTCGCGCAGTCACCCCTTTGACCATGACAGCACAGCCGTGGGCCAAGCTGTCGACTCGACTGACGCCCAGCCCTCCAACGCCCAGGGGCGCCACCCGCCGCGCCCAAGGCAGCCAACCCTCCCAGTCGGCCCACCTGGGCTCGGACAGGGACGGCCGCGAGCCTCGGGGCGACCGCTGCAAGGCCAGCGGGACCGCCCAACACATGGAGCGCAGACAAGCCCTCACGCAGCGCCTCGCGGCGACGAGTAGCCAGCAGCAAAGGGATCGCGAGACCACTCCCACCGCCATTATACAATTGCTCCATCGTCGAGCCAAGCAGCTGGCGCACTCCCTCGAGCAAGTACAGGAGCGACCAGCATCGCCGATCGACAGATTCCACCGGGCGCCAGAGGCCTGGGGCGGCCGGCAACAGGCCTTCCGTCCTGCAGTCGCCATGGGGGCAGCTTTCCCTGCCAACCTCCAGCCCGCCTTCGACGCTCAAAGGGCGGCGCACCAGTGCTAACCCCCCTCTCCCTTCGCACGGACCACCAGCACAGGTGGCACCTGAACCGTCGTTCGCTCTTCCTGGGCCCCTGGGGGGGACGCCCCAAGGCGGCGCCTTTCAGTTCCCATGGTCGCCGACGTGCGCCTGCCGAAGCGTGCTAGAAACCAGCGCCCCCGTTCGCCACCGGGGCGCAGACGGGCCCCATGGTGGCCGGCTCGCCACCGCCCGCCCGTTCTTTCCAGACGGGGCCCATGTGACCGCACCAGGGGGGAGGCAAGCCCGCCACCCCGTCTACGCATCCGGCGCTTGCCGCTGGTGCGAGGACGGCCTGCTGGGCGCTCGCAGCCCAGGGGTCGGGGCTGACGCGCGGCCCGAAGCGTGACGATCTCTCTCCCCCTCTTCCTCCCCGTTCCTTGCCTTGGGCGGGCGCCCGCGCGCCTGACCGGGTGCCGGGTGGTTCACACCCCTGCCGGCCCCCGCCACCGTGGTGCGGAGCAAACCAAAAGCCCCGTTTTTCATGGCGGGCTTGGGACCTTTCGCCGGCACGCCTAGCCCGGGCGAACACTAGGCTTAAGACGGGCTCTGGTGCCGGGGCCGCGGATATTGCAGCGGGGAGCGTTCCACGCCAGCATGGTTGAATGCATCTCGATGGGTTCGGTGTCCCACATTGGGGTCGACCTTAATAGCTCTCTGGGAGGGCGCGGGTGGTGACAAGCAACGACAGGGCCAGTTGGGCGGTCGCATCAAGAAGCATGAGCAGGTGGAGAAGGTGTAAAAGGAGGAGAAGGTGCAGAGGAAGGAGGGAGATGCTGGAAGGAAAATGAAGGCAAGTGAGGAGGAGGAGGAGGAGGACAAGGAGGACGAGGAGGAGGAGGAGGACAAGGAGGACGAGGAGGAGGAGGAGGGGGGAGGAGGAGGAGGAGGAGGAGGAGGAGGGGGAGGAGGGGGAGGAGGAGGAGGAGGAGGAGGAGGAGGAGGAGAGGAGGAGGAGGAGGAGGAGGAGGAGGAGGAGGAGGAGGGGAGGAGGAGGAGGAAAGAAGGAGGAGGAGGAGGAGGAGGGGGAGGAGGAGGAGGAGGAGGAGGAGGAGGAGGAGGAGGAGGTGGAGGAGGAGGAGGAGGAGGAGAAGGAGGGGGTGGAACGGAGAAGTGGAGGAGGCACGTGGGGTAGGTGCGCGTCTTTGCGATGTTTCAGTGCACAGTTTCTTATAGTTGGGAGCAGGAGGAGAAGGAGGAGGCGGAGGAGGAGGAGGAGGAGGAGCAGGAAGAGCAGTGGAAGGGAAACGAAGAGGAGGAGGAGGAGGAGGAGGAGGAGGAGGAGGAGGAGGAGGAGGAGATGACTCTTGCCGACTCGCTCTGCCAGAGTGCAGCTGAGCTCGCGGCTTCCCTGGCCAGAGGGCAGATCGATCGCAGTGGCTTCGGAATTCGAAAAGGTCCAGGACCCTGAACTGGTGGCTTGGGCATGCTCGAGTGGTGGTGGGATGATGAGGACGAGCAGGGGGCGATAGGGGCCGCAGAGAGGCGCGCGAAGACCTTCCTGGGCTGCCGAGTTCCGCCATGATGCTCCCCGTGAGTCCGGGCGCGGAGCAAGGAGTGCGCTCGTCTCTTGTCGGGGCGCGTGCCTCCCACCCCCCCGCCCTGGTGGCGAAGGTCACCCCGGTGGAGAAGGTCCTGGAGCTGCTGAAGGAGCTGGAGGGGCAGGTCTCCTGCTCCTCCTCCTCCTCCTCTCCTCCTCCTCCTCCTCCTCCTCCTCCTCCTCCTCCTCCTCCTCCTCCCCCTCCTCCCCCTCCTCATCCTCCTCCTCCTCCTCCTCCTACTCCTCCTACTCCTCCTATTCCCCCTCCTCTTCCTCCTAGGTGATGGCCGAAGGCACGGCCGAGTCGGCCGCGTACGACGAGTTCGCCTGCTTCTGCAGGGAAAAGACGGAGGGCCTGGCGTCCACCATCGGCCAGGCGAAGGAACCGCGAGCCGCGCCACGTGCCCCAAGGGCCGATGATAGTCAGGACGTGTGTCAGCCCACTGTGAGTTTACCCCGTTCCGCCGCAGCGGCAGCACGCAGCCTGTGATGGCTATTCTCTATCTCTCTTGCTCTAAGCCGCCTGCGTCGTGTTACGAGCTTGCGGTCGACGAGCACACGCTGGCGCTGACACCCTCTGAGGATCATCGACAGGGGCACCGAGGCCACCAGCCGTCTGGCCGCACCGCGGGCGCCGGGGGCCCGGGGGCAGCCAGGCGGGCCCCCCCAGGCAGCGAGCCACGGGCGATCTTCGAAGAACCAGCTGGTCTTGACCGCCCCACCTCTGTCGAGCGCGTCGAGGGTTCGCTGGAACGGCCCTGCCACCCCCCCGCCCCCCCGCCCCCCCGGCCCTGAGGGTGGCCAAGCGACTTTGGTCGAAGGAGGAGATTGACACCCTGAGCGCGGACATAGAGTCCGACACGAAGGAGAAGATCGTCAAGCTTGGCGAGCTGGAGGAGAGGGTGGTGGAGCGGGAGGTGGAAGTGGCAGCGAGGGGGAATTGGGAAGAGGAGGGGGAGGGGCAGTGGGAGCAGGGGTAGGGGCAGTGGGAGCAGGGGCAGTGGGAGGCTCCAGCCCCTCGTCCTCTCCCGGTCCCCTCTCCAACATTGCGCTGGAGCGTAATCAAGGCGTAGACGCCATTTCCTCTTTGAGCATGGGCGCCCTCTGTTCGGCGACGCCTGGTGCGTGGCAGGGATGGGGCGCGTCGCACACTGCGCGCGAGAGGGCAACCTGCCACTCTCGCCTGATCATCGCGTATTTCCGCCGCATCCTGTGGCGTTGGGCCCTCGTCTTGAAGAGACAGCGACCCGCGTCCCAACTCCTCGCCTCCTCCCCCTCCACCCATTGTTTGCCTCTGCTCTCCGCATGTCCTTGTTTCAAAACACCGCTCACACGTTTCGTGGCCACAGCCACCGAAGGCCCCAGTGGCAACTTTCGCATGGCGGCCCCGCCCCATTTCGGCGCACCCCTCACACGCATCGTGGTCACATAGGGACCTCCACCGAAGGCCCCAGTGGCAACGTTCGCATGGCGGCCCCGTCCCACTTCGGCACACCCTTCACACGTTTCGGGTTCCCTGATGGAGCTCCCCCGAAGACACCAGTGGCAACGTTCGCATGGCGGCCCCGCCCCACTTCGGCGCACCGCTCACGCGTTCCGTGGCCCCACAAGGAGCTCCATCGAAGGCCCCAGTGGCAACGATCGCATGGCGGCACCGCCCCCATCTCGGCGCACCTCTCACATGCGTCGTGCCCTCCTATTGGGCTCCAGCGAATCGGTACCGATAATGATGCGGCACCAACAGCTGCACATGTCTAGGTCATTCGCCGTGATGATGTGCTCCTGGGGGTGCGTTCCCACTTCGGCTCGGCACATGTTGTGTGCCGCTCGCCACACGCAGTGGCAGCGGGCGAGGAACGCTCGAGCGAGGTGTCGCGTTCGCCCCAGGGCCGCGCAAGATTTTCTTTCCTTGGGTGTTGTGTTGGGTTCCCGCTTGAGCACGGGTCATATGCGTCGCTCGCGAAGCGCGTCTCAGGCGGGGCGACGCGAGAGGGAACGACGTGTCGCCTTCCCCTGAACGCTGCGCGGAGTAGGAAGAGGAGGCGGTGGAGAAGAAGGAGGAGGAGGAGGAGGAACTCCTATATCTTTCTGTCGTTCGTTCTCGTCATCCCTTTCCCACTTCACCCTGCCGTCTGTCTCTCGCTCTTCCCTCCGCCGAGGAATAGGTGGGAACTGGGATTGGGGATAATGCGGAAAAGGGGGGAGGAGGGGGAATTGGGGAATGTTGGAGGGTGAGCCGGTGGCGGCGAAGCGGCATCGGGCCGAAAGGCCCATTGCCAAATGAGACGACATAGTTGGACACGTCGAGCAACATGACGCTATGCGCGACGTACCGTGCGCTAGAAAGCTGATGTATGGATGGCCCCCTCCAGGGATGGGAGCCTCGAGTTGCCCTCGCTCAGCCACGGTTCGCAGTGAGAGACACTTCTGAGCACGAGAAAAAGTGAGTAGTGGCCCACCCAGGGGCCCCGTCCAGGAGAACCCAGAACACTCCAAACCGAGTGGCGTACGCAACCAGGTCCTCCAAGCAGTGGGTGAGAGAACCAGGGGTGGACCTAAACGGTGTTTTGGCGATTTCGTGGGCCGTTTTCGTTTCGAATTCGTTTTGCGTTAAAGGCGGATTGAAGACGAAACGAGGGAAACCGAAAACAAAACGAAAACGAAAAACACCGTTTAGGTTCAGCCCTGGAGAGAACGGGGCAAGGTCGGAGGGCTCGAGCGAGGAGGACGAGGAGGAGGGATAAGTGGGGGGGCATCGGCAGCGGCGGCACAACGGGCCTCGAAGCCTTCGCTCGAAAGGTCCCTGGGCTCAGACTTGGTCGTCCCAGCTGCTGTGGAACCTGGCCTCCGCTTCACCTCCTCCTCCTCCGGCTCCTCCTCCTCCGCCTCCTCCTCCTCCTCCTCCTCCTCCTCCTCCCCCTCCTCCTCCTCCTCTATCTCCTCTCTCCTCCTCCTCCTCCTCCTCCTCCGCCTCCTCCGCCCCTTCTTCCTCCTCCTTCTTCCTCCTCCTCCTCCTCCTCCTCCTCCTCCTCCTCCTCCTCTGAAGCTGGCCTGCTCGCCCCAGAGGCCCCTCTGGCCCTCTGTGGAGTAGCACCTGTTCCCTGTGCAGCAGGCCGGGCAGCTCGCGAGTCTGAGCTGGCCGGCATCGGAGCGGGATTGGTCGCTACCGAAGTCGCCGCTGCAACCAGCGAACGTACCGTGGACTCCAGACTAGCGTGTCCCCGCGAGGTCGGCACGATGCCCACATCACCCTGCTCCTCAGCGCACCCATCCAGCTCGAGTCCACAAAAAAACAGGCGACGCTGAACCTGGGAGGCCGACCCCAGGGTGTGCGGATCCAGGCAAAGCCGATGGCGGCGTCGAACCAGCCCCAAGCCAGGAATTCGCAATCTAACACCAGTGTGCAGCAATGACGACTTCGAACCTGGAAGGCCATATCCAGGAGGTGCAGCTCTAACGCCAGTCCGACTCAGTGCCCCTCGAGTTCGTCGATCGCGAGCTGGAGGATGCGCTCCGTGTGCGACCTCGGCGCTGTGCCTGGCCGTGCCTCCCCGCCCAGCTGAGCCACGCACGACTGGAACGCTTTCGGCATGCTTGATGCGCCAGCGAGTAGACCAGCTTGGCGACGCCGCCCGCGTACGCACTCGAGATACGGAATCCCTTTACCAGCAAGGTCAAGTCCACAATCGCCTGCGTCGAGTCCGTGGAGGAGGAGGAGGAGGAGGAGGAGGAGAAGGAGGAGGGGAAGGAGGAGGATGAGGAGGAGGAGGATGAGGAGGAGGAGGAGGAAATAGCGGATTAAGTTGACCAGGTTGAGTGAACCAGAGGGCCACGCCGATTTCCAACCCTCCCTCCCACAACATGCCAGATTGTGGCACAACTTGATATTGGTATTGGAACGCGCTCCCACCTTCGCAAGCGAAAAGCGCTGTCGCGCGGCCCCGCTTCCGACAAACACGCGAGCCGCGCAGGGGCGGGAGCGGCAGGACCTCCGATGGGCGCGGCGAACACGAAACATGCGCCGCGTTGACACAGCACTGCCACGTTCGCTCACAAGCTGCGCGGCGCTCGGGCGAGGTCGGCATGTCGCCCGCTTTCGCGCGGTCCCGCTGCCGCTGTCGCTTCCTCGCGATTCGGAGGGCGAGCCCACAGGCCTGTTCTATCAGACCTCCTTCGCCTCGGCGGTCGGGCGGGCAACCGTCCGATCACCGAGGCCCGCTCAGCAGTAGAGACACGCGGGGGCGGGAGCGAGGGCTTCCGCAGCCATGCGGGCTCAGGCTACGCTCTTGAGAACGAGCCCTGCTCCGCGCCCGCGCGGGAGCACCACCTCCGAGCGAACTGCGAACGGAGCGCGGGTGAGGGCGGCGGGTCGCCCACCCGCGCGGGCCCATTCCAACCCTGGCGGGTGGCACCCTTGCGCTGCGCCGAGGCGGGAAGCGCCACTTTCGGGCGACATGTGCGCGCCGCCGCGGCGAGAACGACGTGCTCGCCCGCTCGCGTGTCGACGACGTCGCGCTCGAACAGTGCGCACCGCGCTCAAGCGGAAGCCCACGTCTCTGGAGAAGGATGGCCGGCGCCGAGGCGAGTGCGACATTCTGGCCTGTCTGCCACGCCTTTGGCAACATGGACGGAGCAATGTCCATATGCAAACGAGACCCCCAACAGGGCTCCAAGGTGGTCGGAGGCGCCCCGACAAAGTGGCACAGCCTCAAACGGACAACACGGGAACCTGCATAATGCGCCCCAGAGCAGCACAGCGTCAACCGGACAACACGAGCATCAGCATGATGCGCCCTATGGGCATCCTCTTCTTTGCTTCTCTCGTCCTCGGAAGTCACGCCCACTTGTCCTCTAAGGTCGGGGTTATCAGATCTAGTGCTGTTTTTGCTGACAAATAGGATCCCCCCGGATGGGGCTGCTGTTGGCCGGCTAGGTGGCAGAGTGGCAAGAGTGGGAGTATGTACCAATAGGGGGTACGGATGAGGGCGGAAGGGCGTGGTGGAGGGTCAGTGCGAGGAGGAGGAGAGGAAAAGGGGGAACGAAACACGAACAGAGCGAAAACGGAAAGTGGGGAGTTGGAGATCGAGGGGGGAAGGGGACGGGGAAGGGGAATGAGGGTGTGGAGGAGGTGGGGGAGAAGATGAGGAGGAGGAGGGAGGAGGAGGAGGAGGCGGAAGAAGAGGAGGAGGAGCAGGAGAAAGTAGTTGATAGTGCGAGTGAATGGAGGAGGCGGAGTTGGAGGGTGGGAAGAGAGGGGGGGGATTGGGAGGGGATTGTGAGCCAGGAGCGTAAGAAGAAGCAGGAGGCGGACATGGCCGCCTTGGCCGAGGCGAAGGCACAGCTTGCCAAGGACACGGCCCAGTACGACTACGACGCCGCAGACCTTCAGAAGGCAGAACACAGAGCTCATGCGTTTCTGTTGAACCCCTCTCCGTATATTAAACATACCTACAGGTGCATGAGTGGACGTATGCACGAAAGCAGGTATGTTTGTGCATGTGTATATGTCAGAGTGCGGGGGCCGAACGGTCATTCATTGTCCCTGGGTGCGTGGCTGAAGTGAGAGTCCGTGGTGAGGATTCTGATTGTTGCGTTGTTGTTTTTGCTGCTGCTGCTGCTGCTGCTGCTGCTGCTGCTGTTGTTGTTGTTGTTGAACATTATTAATTCTAAAGAATAATTATTGTTGGGACCCCTGGTGCACGGCCCCCCTGCGCCGCCTAGGCCGCAGCTACATTTTCATCATTTTCGTGAGGAAGCCTCAGGTAATTCGATGTGATCAAGATCCGGTTGTTTTGTTCCCCCCCGCTTTCCCTTGCAAAAAACACTATAAAATGACATTTCTTGTTCTAATATAATCAAATTTCAAGAATCCCTTGCAAAAAATAAGGTAAAGTGGACATTCGCGCGCGCAAGACGAAATCCTTCCAAAAGCTTAGTGTTCGGAGCGATTTTAACATAAAAACATCAAAAAACCAATGGTTTTTCAACAAAAAAATGTCAAAATCTCATCCCGCGCGCTCTTGCGGATTCGTAGGAAACCCAACACTTTTTAAACATTTCTGTCAAACGGGCTTTTGCGAGCAACTTTTTCGAACTTCTGCGACAACGGTTGCGCACCTGCCAGGGCCATCATCCCTGTCAAATAATACCATGCGGGACACATTCGTTTTTTCTTCGCGCGCGCACGCCGTCGTCGTCGGCCGCGGGGCCCTGAATAGTAGCCACGGTCGTCCGCATGCCACGAAGTGAAGTGTCCGAACGTCATAGGGCGGGAAGCTGGGTGTGGGTGGTGGCGAAGAGTCGTTTGGAAATTTGGTAGAGCTTGAACCGGCCCCCCCACAAAGTGGGGGTATTGCCCGCCTCCTATGAAAACCCTGGCACTGGTGAGAACGGAGTGTCCCCAGTCTTAAATGATTGTTGTTGTTGTTGTTGTTGTTGTTGTTGTTGTTGTTGTTGTTGTTGTTGTTGTTGTCTGTTGTCTGTTGTCTGTTGTCTGTTGTCTGTTGTCTGTTGTCGTCGTCCCCCCCGCGACCAACCCGCGACCCACCCTGCGACCCACCCCCTGATCCACCCCGCGACCCACCCGCGACCCACCCGCGACCCACCCCGCGACCCACCCCGCGACCCACCGGCGACCCACCCCACGACCCACCCGCGACCCACCCTCGACCCACCCGCGACCCACCCCTTGACCCACCCGCGACCCACCACGCGACCCACCCGCGACCTACCCGCGACCCACCCGCGACCCACCCGCGACCGATCCACGTTGGCTTGAAGAACTAAATCGGCGCCTGCGGCGGGCTCGTTGTATAATTTGTGAAACTTTGGCGCCTGCTGCGGGCTTCTCCAGAGTCTCGCAGGCTGCCGACGTCCCCACCGCCCCCTCACTCTTATACATAAGTGTATATATACACATATATATATACAATACATATATATATATACAAGACTGCAGTGGCGCTTCGCGCCATGCACCTTGGTCCTTGAAGTTTGGTATGCAGGCGGAATAGCAGGAAGGTCAAGCCGACAATTTAGAGGTAACTCCTTGTTGCATTTTCCGGCATCGCCGCTGTAATAATGTTATTCGTTATCCTTCCTCCATGCTTCTTTTTCTTTATTTTCGCCGTACCCTGCGCATTCTCCCCATCCCCCTCAGCTCTTTTTTGCGGAGGCTCCTCCTTGGAGAGCCTCTGGGAGCCTCACAAAAGTTGTTTCAGGCTTTCTTAAGGCCTTCTGGAAGCCTCCTGGGCGTATTCTGGGGGCCTCTGGGGACTTCCTCGGGCCACCCTGCCTCCAACCGCGGTCTCCCTGAACGACCCGGTCACGATTTGGAATGCTTCGGAGGGCGTCTTGGGGCCATCTGGGGCCGCCATGGGGCTCTCTGAGGGCCATCTTGGACCCGTGTTGTGCCGTTTTGGGGCTCTCTTGGACTGCCGGGAAGCCTTTTCGGATGGTTGTGGGGCGATGTTGGAGCCTCCCAGGCGGCTTCGGACGCCCAGAAGACCGCCGTCTTGGAGCGTCGGGAAGCCGAAAAGAGGAGAACCCCAAAATTCAGCAAAAACCAACAGAAAATCAAAATGTTGTGCCTCTTGGGGCCTCCTTGGGAAAGCTCTTGGAGGCCTCTTTGGGGCCGTTCTGGAGGCCTTTTGGGCCATCTTGAGGTCACGTCGGTCACTCTTGTAGCGCTCTTGTGTTGTCTTGGGGGTCTCTGGGACGTATCCGATGACCCCCCTGATCACCCTAGGTGTGCTGGGAAGGCTTGGCAAAACGCCCTGCGAGGCCCGGGGGGCCGCTTCGAGGCCCGTCCGGAACGTCCCAAAGCCCCAGATCCCGGGAGTCTGTTTTTTTTTGTTGGGGGGGACGGGTTTTCCCCCCGCCCAGGCTTGCAAAAATATAGGAAGAGGAATAATATATATATATATATATATATATATATATATATATATGTGTGTGTGTGTGTGTGTACATGTGTGTGTACATGTACACATTTCCACACACACACACATATATATATATATACACATATATATTTATATATATATATATATATATATATACGGACCCGCCCAATACGGCCCAAGAGGCCCCAAAGACAGCCCAAGAGGCCCACGAGGCAGCCCCAGCGATGCCCAAGAGGGCCCCAAGACGCCCAAGAGCGCCCCAAGAGGGCCCGAGATGGCTTGAAGATGGCCGAAGAGGGCCCCAGGCGGGCCTTCAGGAGGCAAAAGTTGGCCCATTCCCTTGGTAAAACATACGTTTTCAGCATACTCGCTTGCTTCGTCTTCACAGTGCCACAGACGCCCCCGTGGAGCCCCAAGACAGCCCAAGAGAGACCCAAGAGGGCCTATGACGGCCCAAAAGGGTTGTCCTGTGGGGCTCACGGAACCCCCAAGACGGCCCAAGAGGCCCCAACGCTTGCCCAGGAGGCCCCAAAGACGGCCTCAGGGAGGCCCAAGAGGGCCTCGTTCGAAATCATGTTCCCGGAAGCCTCTCCGGG